AGAAAAGGGATGGAGAAATGCTAAGCGACCATGTGAAAGCTGTGTTGAAAACTAGGGGTACAACTGCTAGCTTTAGCTCACCCCTTCAAGAAATCAAATGGCAACTAATATGGAAAGGAACAGTAACACTTAAAGATGAACATGAGGATAATGTGCTCCACCTTGAGGTAGGCAGCTTGTTTCCATAACCGAGCCAAGGGGGCTAAAACAGCCATTCAAATACAAAAGTAGCACACCCACCTCACCAAAATCTAGGGACTAACCCTCCCCCACTCTCAAAAATGAATTGCACACCACTGTCTTGGGTAAGAGTCATGAGACTAGGGTGACCAGATGTCCCGATTTTATAGGGACAGTCCCGATATTTGAGACTTTTTCTTATGTAGAAGCCTATTACCCCCCAACCCCTATCCCGATTTTTCACACTTGCTGTCTGGTCACCCTACATGAGACTTGGCTTCTTGTTACATCTCTGCTTCCTTTCCACTCTTCGGTGCAAGGTCCTCTGGAAAGATTCCTTGCTTAAGCTGTTTTCTAGCCCCCTGCAGGACACAAACAAACATTGAGCTGTTAAGCACATGTACAGTGTGGCACTGGGCCGCTGGCAACAAGTTCATCAGCTTGTCTACCCAGCAGATACAAGGGAAATGGTTTGACCTGGTTTGTATTTTTAAACTTACTTTGTTGTCTGGCTGTTTTGCTGTTGATGGAGATTCTGATCGGTTGCAGTCCTTATTTGTTCTAGTTGAATTGGTGCTTGCATGTTGATTTGCTGCTGCCTTTTGAAACTTGACACCTTGGCAAAGAGAATATCAACTCATAGTCATCAAGGATTCCCAGATGGCTTACCGATTTCCTACCTTGCATCAATACATGCTCAGAGGGAAGGTTGCCATTGTCAGGTTCTTTCCATCCCTAATGTCTTGGGGGTGGTTCTCATTTTGGTACATTCTGAGTAGTCAGTTTTGTTTTGTGACTAATATTGGCCTGCACTATAACTACTGCGGAAGTCCAGAATCTAGTCCAAGGTCAAGACCGCTCACGTGTCTCTTCAAATGTGTTAAAGACAAACACTATCTGACCGTGCCGACGAAGCCATTATTACGTCACTATCCAACCAGCAAGGAATGATACATTTGGAATAATATTTTGCACTTACACTACCTGATCCAAAGACCCTTGACTTCAGTGGGAAGGCCCCTATGGATTTCAATGGGCTCTGGGTCAGATTCATATAGCACTTTTCACTTGTACATCTCAAAACACTTTACAAAGGTGGGTAAACATTATTATCCCCATGTCACGGGTGGGGAGACAGAAAGGTTAAATGGTTTGCCGTAAACCAGTTGCAAGCTTGGAATTAGAATTCAGGATTCCGAACTCCCAGCCCTCTGCTTAAATCCCTGGGTGAGATGAGGCAAAACATGCTTACTCTGTTTCCAGGCATGTTCTGCAGCTTTCGGGGCTGTCAGCATGGCAAAAGGATGCAAAGAGAGGTTGAAAGGGTGAATCCAGTGACCCTGGAAGGACAATAACACTTAGAGGTTAATGAGAAATTGTACAATTGCTTGTCTATTTTATAGTCTTTACAGCCCTGAGTATATTATTACAAATTCCTGGTATTTTCCGTTGGATCGCGTCCATGTTTCTGAAATGTTTACTTCTAACTTTTCCCATCCTCTTTTGCCCTCTCCCAGTGGCGTGGCAGTGCTGATATCCTTTGTTAGATAACTCCTGTATCTCTTGGTTTAGGTGCTCTGTTCAGGGTCTGATTTTGTACCCATCACCGTGATATTTGGGAACCTTCCAGCAAAGAAGCGTGGAAAGACTTGCATATAAACAAAAAAATAGGCAGACAGAGGCTCTGACTATATTATTATCAAAGCAACTTTGCTACCACATCACCAGCAAGAATCTATCCCTGAGCTACAGGCTACTCACTATTCAGAGACAGGTGTTGCTCCAAGCATCACAGCTAAATTCAGAGTGACAGCAGATGAGAGGAAAAACAGCATAACCGCTTCATCTGAAATCTCTCCTTGTCTCCATCGGAAGCAGATCAGGAGCTCCAGCCATGGGAATACCAACCAAAGGGGCAGCACTATGGCAAATGTCATGAGCAGGCAAGTCGGGAAATCTGGCAAGAAAACCTGCTTTGACTGCTGCACTCTGCAGAGCCCCCACTTCGAAGGGAGGTACAGAGCTTCCCAGGCCGTAAAACAAACAGACCATCCCTGGGTCAAGTGGAACCCCTATCATACAACTCCCAGGCAACTCCACAAAACAAACCAGATGGAATTTCCATCCCCCTATGTTGGATCAATAAGAACGAAGGAATTTGGTCCATGTCACCTTTTTTCTACAGATTACGTGGCTGTGCCCGAACATAGCAGTAACCCTATCCAGCCACCAGATGGCAGTCCATATTAATAAGGCCAGGCACGAATGATTTGTTTTATAAGTGCACCAGAGACATTGCTAATTATATGGTTTATTATAATCTGATCACAATTCCACAGTAACTTTGGCAGTTGCTTTGGTAACACTTACTTTAAGCCACACCAAGTATGTTAGAGCTACCTATAGACTACCGCAGTGTGCTGTTGGAACAGGCGGGAGCTTTCCTAATACTTTCAAAGTCATGAACTCAAGTCTGCAAAGACTGATTTTGAAGTACGGGAGCAATTACTAATGTAGGCCCTGATTTTCTCCTATGCTGAGGTCTGCTTAGCAGGCCCAACAGGGAGAAAGTTTTACCTCTGTGATCCTCCTGGTGCATCTGTGCTGGCCCTGGCATACCAGCATAAATGAGAGCATCTCCGGGGCTGCTCTAATTTAGGCTAGCTGGCTGGGGACCCTATGGGACCTTGTTCCAGCGGTGAATTTTTATAGCCCAGGCACACGCTGCCCTTCCCCCTCTGTCCTGGCACACCCCAACATGTCCCTTCTCCCCCTTCCCCCACCAGGGAGTAGAGGGAGCAGTTGGGGTAGGAGTCAGGTACCACTTGCTGCAAGCAGAGAGCTCTGCTGTGCCGAGGGAACTCTACTTGGGCTACAGCTCTGCTGCTACTCGAGTCAATGTTAACATTCCCATTGACTTCCCTTCAGTGGTGCAGGATGCAGCTCCTGGTGCTGGGATCCTATCAGAGACACAAGCTATACAGGGTTGGTTGACACATGGCTGGAAGATCTATAATCAGAACTGATAAACTCTATATTAGATAGCCCTTTTCACAGATAGATCTCAGAGTGCTTCACGGATAGGGAAACTGAGGCACCAACTTGCCCAGTGGCACCCACTAGGCCTGTGCTGGCAATGCTGTTGGCAAGTGGCATACTTTCCTTTTGAGTTAACAATAAATCCATATCAGCATGGTCCACTGTGCTCTCAGAAGTGCCATCTCAGAAAACCGAGATCCTGGCCACTTGTGGCTATTAAAAATCACATACGGTGACCTTTGTGGCACTGGTCTAGCAAAGCACTTAAGTACACGCTTAAGGTTAAGCACATGAATAGTCGCATTGAAGTCAGTGGGGAAACTCACATGTCTAATCTTGAGCATGTGCTGAAGTGCTTTGCGTTACTAAACCGCTAAGATTGGAGTATTACCTTAATATTCTAGCTTGGAAGCCAGGGCCTAAAACCAGTGATGTCCGCTGAATGCTTGTTGTCTGTGCGTACATACAGTAGCTCAGTTACTGAGTTACTAAGAGAACACATTTAGATCTATCTGGTGTCTTTTGGTATCAAGTCCTGCGCAGACAAAAGAGATCAATTTTCTTTTTCTGTCCTTTAGCCTGGGGACTATCTTCAGCTGATGCGCAGAGAAAAAGTACAGGAGAAAGAGACAATTGGCTCCCTCTCGGGAACAAGACCAACTCCCTGAAGGTCAATTACGTAAACACAGAAAGCTTTTATATGTTGATGCCAGTCTTACACTGGCGCTTTATTGTTCACTTTAGCTGGTGAGGTCCCCTCTCAGGGAAACTACTGAACACTGAGTTCTCTTTCTCTCCGAGTCCTTTATGCCAGATAAGAAAGGGAAGTTTATAAGATTGATTTCTTAGACAGGAGATGGTCCAGTGGTTATGGTACTAGGCTGGGACTCGGGAGACCTAAATGTAAGTTCCTAGTATGCCACAGTCTCTCTGTTCCTCATCTGTAAAATGGGCATAATGGCACTTCGCTATCTTATACGGGTATTAAGTGAGCTGCTCAGGTACTATGGTCACAGGAGCTAGCTTCTAATTTTCCCCAGGGGTGCTCAAGTCCCGCTCAGCCCCAGGACCTGCCCCGACTCCAACTCTTTCCCCAAGCCTCCACCCCTGCCCCGCCTCTTCCCTCCCTCGCTCCACTTCTACTACACCTCTTCCCCACCTCTTTACGCCCTTTCCTCCCAGTGCCTCCTGCATGCTGCTGAACAGCTGTTCCGTGGGAGGCGCTGGGATGGAGGGGAGGAGTTGATTGGCGGGGGCCACAGGCGGGAATGGGGGGAGGGAGGGGTGCTCCAGCCCTCACGCACCCACGGAGTTGGAGCCTATGACTATGGTAATAGGGGGGCACATAAGTACATTAGATCAAATACTTTTTTTCATTTTCAGCAGTGTTTTTAACTACTTTATTTTTGTTACCAAAACTTCAATTGAAGTCACTTTTGAAATTTTCCATTTACGATAACAGGCAATGAGAAAACAAGGTTTTAGGTCAACAGAAATTTTTAGATAAAAAAGTTAGTCAAAAATATCACCAAAAATTTCATGGAAAAATTGTATGTTGACATTTTCCATAAAAACATTCATTTTTTAAAAAAGGCCATTTTTGGATGAAAAACATTTTGTGCCCAAAATGTTGACGATCTCTAGGCTCAGACGCGTGCGTGCATCTGAGGAGAGTTCCACCAGGTAACGTGAGGACTTAATTGGCTTCATTATTTTTATCTTCCATGGAGAAAGGCTGAATAACTTAGGCCTGGTCTACACTAGGAAATTAGAGAGGTATAACTATATTGCTCAAGGGCGTGAAAAAGCCACAGCCCTCAGCGACGCAGTCAAACCGATCTGACCCCCAGTATAGACGGTGCAAGGTCAGTGGGAGGTCGATGGGCGACTTAGCTACCACCTCTCGGGCAGGTGAGACTTCATCTGGAATACTGTGTGCAATTCTGGTCTCCTATGTTTAAGAAAGACTAATTCAAACTGGAACAAGTGCAGAGAAGGCCTACTAGGATGATCAGAGGAATGGAAAACCTACCTTGTGAGACGAGACTCAAAGAGCTTGGCTTGTTTAGCCTCACCAAACGAAGGCTGAGGGGAGATATGATTTCTCTCTATAAATATATCAGAGGGATAAATACCAAAGAGGGAGAGAAGTTATTTAAATTAAGTGCCAATGTGGTCACAAGAACAAATGGATGTAAACTGGTCATCAACAAGTTTAGGCTTGGAATTAGATGAAGGTTTCTAACCATCAGAGGAGTGAAGTTTTGGAACAGACATTCCAGTGGGGGCAAAAAACCTAACTGGCTTCAAGTCTGAGCTTGATACGTTTATGGAAGGGATGGTATGATGAGATTGCTAACAATGGCATGTAGCTGATCTGCGACTGCTAGCAGCAAATATCTCCAACAGCGAGTGATGGGACACTAGATGGGGTTACTACAGCAAATTCTTGCCCAGATGTTTGGCTGGTGGATCTTGCCCACATGCTCAGGGTCTAATTGATCAAAACATTTGGGGTCAGGAAGGAATTTCCCCCGGATCAGATTGGCTTGGGGCATGGGTCACTTGCAGATTTAAATGAGTGTAAATGGTGGTTTCTCTGTAACTTGAAGTCTTTAAATCATGATTTGAGGACTTCAGTAATTCAGCCCGAGGTTAGGGGTCTACTAGGAGTGGGTGGCTGAGGTGCTGTGGCCTGCAATGTGCAGGAGATCAAACTAGATGATCATGTTGCTCCCTTCTGGTCTTAAGGTCTATGAAATGGATTATCTCCTGTGACAGGAGAAGCCCTCCTATTGGCCTAGTAGGGAATATCTTCCTGGAAGCGCAGTGGCGCAGCTGCAGTATTTTCAGTGTGGACAAACTTATTGGAAATGCATTTACTTCCCCCTCCCCTTTTGTGAACAGCTTTAATTCCAAAGTGAAATTAAATGAAATGAGTTGGGAAGACTCAGCTAAACTCCTGCCGCACGTGAGTCCATGCTACAAAAGCACGACACGCAATGGATCAAATTCTTCCCCGACTTATGCCCCATGCAACTGCATGCAAGTCCAAGGAGTGGAATCTCTGGCACCAGAAGTCAACAGAGGATGTCAGTCGAGGCAGAATTTGGTCTACTCTGCTGTGCTGCTGAGGAGACTCAGGGCACAGATAGTAATAGAAGTGAACTCTCTCTCACCTGTGGAGAGGGTGGTCCTCCCAAAGCTTGTGTACAACTTCCCAGGTCTACGTGGCCTTTGTGTATCAAGAAGCCTCCATCTGCCTTACTACCAGCCCTTAAATTGAGTTCAGACTCTCCTG